AAATGTTTCACATTGGAAAAGTAAGTAAAATTATTACACTTTTTTGCATTCCAAAGCTAACTTCTAGATAAATTAAGTGATTCTTCAGTTTAGAGAAGATTCCATGCCATTGTTAATACAAAGTTTAACTCTATTGTTTTCCTTAGAGCACTGAATCGTTTTGAATCATTAATTATGGATAAGAAAGCTTAGGAATCTGAGAACTTAAAGCTTCTGTTGGCCCTCAATTTTACAGGGTGAAGATAAGTTGGTTTGAGACGATATGGTAAGAAAATTGGACACCATGAATTGATTTCCAAGCAGCACTAAGACACCCTGTTTAGAAACCCGTCTACTGGACTAAATGAAGAATATTTATTTATCCACATCTCCATACTTAGAATTCAAAATAAAACTTTCATATTAGTCAAACATTAAGGTTTGATTGTTACAGTCATCCTCACCTGCGAGTCTTATTCAATAGTCACTAGTAAATGGCATTCTCCAGCCTCTGAGTATAAAATGTAGACTTTTGAACCTGTAAGATACTGTGGAGACCATCTACTTCTCTATTTTGATTCAGAAATGACAAAACAAAGCTCATAGGGCTATTTGCCCAAGGGCCTTTAAGTGCAGAACCAGCACCTCCATTAGGATTATATAGTCACACCCAGGCTGGCAAGGTGAGATCTGAGGGTTGAAGCAGGAAACCAGGGAGCCAAGAGAATTCTTTCAATCAGTAGATTTCCACTTCATCATGCTGCCTCCAGGAATGGGGATGTCCATGACCATTTTTCATCCCTATTCAGCTTTATTGTTTAACCTTAATATGCCTTGTTTAGGTGGCTTCAAATTTTTTCCACTTATGAAAATTAACAGCTTAATAAAAAATTGCATATTGAGTAGTCGTCAACTATGTCAAAGGGAATATATACATATATGAATGAAATGATGGAAGAAATACACCAAACTCTAATAGCTGCTATCTCCAGGAAGCGGGAAAAATAGATAACAGTAACTGTTTTATTCCTCTATACTATTTATGCTTTTGAAGTTTTCTACTATAAGTATGGGTTTCTTTTTTAATTAGATAAAAAAGCAAAATAATATTAAAAATCCATCTCAAATCATTTTGGGGAAGTGGCAGAAGATAAGCAAGTGCATTGAGACACATGAATATACACGTATACAATTTACTGTGCAGATTTTCCATGTGGGAAGGTTTCTAACCATGGTCCTTTCCAGCCCTAAGCTTCTAAGACATTCATTATCTGCCTGCAAGGGACTCCCACCAACCAGATTGCAGGGACTTTTCCTCTGTCAGTTACTGGTGGTCAGAGAGATCTGTGGCCTTGAATCCCAGCCTCTTGGGGATTTGGCCCTGCATCCCTTGGGCTGCCAGATGACCACAGGTTCTCTGTGGTCACCCACGTGGAGTGCATTCTGAATTAAGCTGCACTTGGTGATGACTGATCGCCCTGTCTCAATTTAGACTAATAGCAGCAATTTTGGTAGCACTGCATGTAATTTATTTATAATCACCCTGTCTCAATTAAACTAATAGCAGCAATTTTGGTTGCACTGCATGCAACCAAGTATGTTTTGACAGGAAAATATATTGTTGGTGAAGGAGTGGTGGGGAGAGGGGGCAGAGAGGAGGAGAAGATGGGAGAAAGTGGAGAGAATTCTATGGGATGCAAAGTTGTAACATCACCTGAAGCCTACATGCAACCCCTTTTCTTAATCTCAGAAGTTTTATGATTTGGGTATGTTGAGGAGTGTGATTTCTTGTGGGGGGTTTTGGGGAGAGGGTAACTACAGTCATGCATCACATAACAACATCTCCTTAGACAAAAGACACATATAAGATAGTGGTCCCGTAAGATTATATAGTAATATCATATTTTTACTGTACCTTTTCTATGTTTAGATACACAAATACCATTGTGTTACAACTGCCTACAGTATTCAATATAGTAACATGCTCTACAGGTTTGTAGCCTAGGAACAATAGGCTAGACCAGATAGCCTAGGTGTATACCTCCTAGGTTTGCGTAAGTACACTCTATGGTATTCACGCAATGATGAAATCTCCTACTGACACATTTCTCAGACTATATTCCTATTGTTATGTAACACATGAGAGTATATGGACAAGTTCTAGACTGAGATATTTATTTCATCATTTCATTTTTTTTCTGTTTTCTTTTTTATTTCATCATTTCTTGATATCATAGCTGAGGTTAAAGATGGGTTTTAAAGTCAGACAGGCTGAGTTGGAATATTAACTCACTCATTCACTAGTAGCATGGCTTGGGATTGGCCAGTTTGCCTTTCAGAGCCTTAGTGTCCTCATTAAGACTGTTAATCATACCCACTTCACAGTGTTCTGTGGATTAAATTAGGTGGTGTGGGTAGGGCATCAAGTAAAATTCTGAGCACAAAGTAGGCACTCAAAGCATGATGCATTTGTGCGATATGGTGGGAAATCCAAAAGCTGAGTTGTCTGGCTCAGAATATAAAGAGGATATACGCTGGAATGGGTCATTGATCTCCATCACCCACTCCTGGGCTTTTTAAACAACATCTGCAGAATTCTTACTTCACTATTTTTATTTCATCCAGGCCAATAACAAGAGGCTTTTTGCATTTCATACAGTCTCATGCCAACTGGGGGAAGGATGGTACGCAGGAGACAAAAGGTTCAAACTGGTATTTATTATGTATCTGCCATTCCCATGCTGTAGACCTTAGGGGAGTACTGACTGTACCTCTTTCCCTTGCTCATGCCATGGTTGGCCAAGAAGGATTCTGGAAGGATTTGGGTACCTGATTGCCCAAGCCACTAAGCTGGTAGTCACTGTTTTACGTCTCCCCTCCTTTCTTCCTTCACATGCAGTTATTAATTTCTGCCCAGTCTACCTTCTAAACATAGCAAATCCATCCTTCCTACTTCATTCTCTCTGCCATACCTCATTCAGACCACCATCATTTCTTGCCTGGACTCCAAGTGGCCTACTGTCCCTCCATTTCAGCTCAAGAAGACTTAGAAAGTGCAAATCTGGTGAGGTCACCACCTCCCCAAAAACCTTCAGTGGTTTCTCCCTACTTTTCAGACTAAAGTTCAAGACCCTGAAGGCAGTCCACAGGGCTTTATGTGACCTGCCCTGGCTATGTGCCCAGCCTATGCTGAGCCACATATGGAGCTCCAGATTGCACTGGTCTCGTTGTAATTCTTTACACATGCCATGCTCTTTCCCACATCAAGGCCTTCACACATGCTCTTCCCAGTGATTGGAATCCTCTTCCCTGCCCTCGTAGACCAGTAAGCTACTACTTGT